CAGAAATTTGTGATTTTCATGGCAACCAGAATAGGTACTCAAATTATAACATACAAAGAAAATCTGTAGATCTCAACATTACAAAATATATTTTACATAATTAAGACATCAGGTAAGTTCTTACTAAGTTTTAAGCACAGTCTGTGGTGTTGCAAACGGTATAGATTTGAGTCTAGCTCCAATTATGAAATGACGTGTTTCACACCTTCACGTCTCATTACTTGAATATCCAAGTACTTCTAACGTGCACCTAAATCAGCAATTTCTTAATGAGTTGACAACTGCCCTCTAATTCGCCTTCATCGGGATACAGATATATTTGTGAATCTACAAACGCATGTCTTTGAATGACTCTCATAAATACTGATTGATTAAATACTTTTATCCACGTCGAAATTGTATATTATGTCCTCTCCATAAATTAAAGATAAGAAAGTCTAATAAAGTAATTACAATGCATATTTAAGGACGATTGCGTTCTCAGTAAAGTTCTTACCGTTTTTCAATTACTTTTCTGACGATCAGATGAGTGACTACTAAATTGTTAATGTTTTTTGACTCGGTGAAGTGTTTTCGTCGACAATTCACCTTATTAATGTGGAGTAGTTCCACTATAAGAATCAACTAACACTATGGATTAACATAATAGTTGGAAAGAAGGTAAGCTTTAATATTTTGCAATCCAGTTACTTCAAGTGAAGACCTCTGAAATTAAATAATTACCTCTTTTTTACCAACTATTACTAAAATAAAAATATTTTATGCATAGCATGATTTCAACTCTTAGGCTTTCTGAATAAAGACTTATTTGTCAGTTATTTCATCTAACTGCGACAAACTTCTGCATACATTTTCGGAAAATATTAGAAGAATTTTTTAAAATTTAAATGGTTACATTTATTGTCTTTATTATCACTACGATAATATAATATCTCTATTATTGTGTGAGTATCCAATAAAATTCCCAAAGTTTTTACATTTCTTGGAAGCCTAAGAAGAATATTTATGTCAAACAAGTAATGGAAGGAAAAAGCACAAATTTATGGGCTAAAAATTATGCAAAAGTACAAAACACACATTTCACACGAAAATAACTTCATCATTTAGACTCTGTGTATCAACGAGGCTATCGACTCTTGCTGTTTCTTTTTGTCATGGTAGACTGTTATCCTGCCCAACCTACATTGTTTTTAGTGCAAATGAAATTATTGTGATTAAATGAATTTTTCAGTTAGATCTCATCAAGCTTAACTCTAAAATCCATAACTTTAGAAAGAAAAATTCATCTATAGACCAGTCACGGTGTTTTGTCTGTAGGCTAATAAGATTGTGTATATAAATTGTGTACTTAGTCATTATAATAGTAATGATAATAATAATAAAGGAATTCGAATATATTCCTTGACGGAGATAAGCTATCCGAGTAGTTTCATAAAGAGATATAGGTAAACATTGGAGAAAAAACATGAGACTATGACTGCAAATAAGAAACTTCTATTTATTAAGTTACAATTTAATGGTGACTTATCGAGTGACATTTTCCATGAGTATACGGAGGACGTTTTACGCAGCATACCAATGTTTGTCATTCTCTAGCCAACGAATAATTGCGACACAAAGGAAGGATAAGATGGTCAGTTTTGCCACATCTGCGTGCACTTATCAATTCAACTGCACCTGCGTGACAGTTATGTTGGGTGTACTACTAGACGGCTTAGCCAACGTGATTTGGCAATTTTGTCACATTTAGTAGATAATGGTGATGTAGTGGAGAAAACGAGAGCTTTCAAAGCAATTCCTCGCATCCCATCGAATCTTTCCAATAGACTACGTATTCGTCTACTTCACACAACTGAGGCGATAGGCATTCGAACCATTAAACCTAAATTATGCATTGAAAAGAAGTTGGTATAGCCATCATCCCCCCTTGGCCTATTAAGACATAACCAACTGATAGCTTCTCCACCACCCCTTACTTATATTTTCAACTCATCTCTTATCATCCCTCAGTCTTATAACATCTTCATTAAAAACGTGTTTCATTTACTTCCCTTTAAATCTAGTATTACCTAATCGGTTCATTTGTTTTTCTTAGCCTTTATCGACTACTTCTACCTGAACGCATTTGCTTGTTTAATCATGCTGTTTTTTGTTATTCATGTTACCACAGATTGCCTTATTTTTTAATCCTTATTATTGATTAAACCACTATTATCATTATCATTATTGCTATTACTATTACCATCACTGTTATTATGACTAATTACACGATTTATATTCACCATCTTATTATCCTACAGACAAAACACCATGATTGGTTTATATTTGAATTTTTATTGTATAGTTATGGATATTAGAGTTAAGTCTGATGAGATCTAATTGAAAACAATATTGTTCGCTTAAATGTGTTTTTCTAAATGAATTCTGTTGTGAAACGTTATTTTGTAGGTAACAGTGATTAAAACACGATTTGCTAATCGTTTTATTACTGTCTGGTATAGAATTTTCATTACCCTTCCTGTGGTTTTTTGTGTGATTGATTTGCAGTTATATGTATTCACTGACGTCAATAATGGAGTATAGTAAAGTAATCACATGAAAATTACTGAAACTTCAATACACTGCAGAGTGATATTATTCTGATTTGACTCACTTTTATAGCATATACGCAGAAAAGAGGGACTCACAAGTACATTTCAGGAATCCTGCTAATATTTAACTTCATTAATATTGACATTATAAAATTAATTTTCATATAATGGGTTTTCATAAGTGAGTTGAAAATGGATGTTGTTATACGAAATTTTTAATAGTCTGACTTAGCGGACTGATATTATTTTAGTGATTGATGATCAAAGGTGAAGTAACAATCTATATCATGGTAGTATTACAACCAGTGACTACCACAGTACTACACTGGCACTTTACCAGCTCATCTATGATAACCATATTTATCATTCTACTGCAATTTGCATAGATATTATTCAGTTGTTGCGTGAAAGAATTGTAATCAAAGAGTTAAGTGTCACTCAATCACATGATAATTGAGCATTGCCAATAATCATTACAATGTAAAAGTGATCTGACCAGCAATTCATTATCAGCTGGTAAAGCATCACGCTGTTAATGTGGAGTCCGTGCATCAAAGCATTTTATTTAATCAATTAACTTCTTTCAGTTGTGGGGCTTGATTATTCTGTCACTATAATAATGGCCAAAAACATTTCTGCTATCCGTTTTATGAAAGTAAGAAGATGAAGGGTGTATTTTTTTTCTTTTTATCTAAGCCCGTTTGTAAGACATGATTGAAATAAATAGTGCTGCTCACTGCATGGATTTTAAAACACAATTTCTTATTCATAGTCCTATTTAAGGTAACCACACAACTCTGAAAAATGTTTTTTAACGTTCGATCTTTAAGGTGATCCAGTACAAATCTGGAGTTTTGTGCTGCTTAGATTATTTCAGCGGGAAATGTAGCATCGTTCAAACTTGTTATCTTAGTGTCTTTTAAACTAATTCTCACCATTCAAAACCCACTCGATTCCATATTTAACTGAAGTCATTCAGGTTTGTTGGGTGTTATGTGAAACGACTGTTTTTTAATTTTTTCTTCCCTAATTAGTAGTAACGCCGTCTATCTTTTTATATCTTGCGTCGGTGGCACAATGGTTAGGACTCTCGACGACCATGCACATGGTCCGGGGTTCGAACCCACACCGGCGCACACCAGATATCTATGAGAAATTTGGGCTACCGATATCCATGCTGAAAATTCCATACTTGTACCAAAAATACAGTGTGGAATCAAGCTGTTACCAAAAATAAAAGAAATAAAATAAGATCATCTGTAATCACATGAAGTTGAAGAATAGAAAAAACGATGATTTCAGCAATAATCAAGTAACACTTAACTCACTAGTTTAAAGCCTTCTGCAGCGTCATTCAAAACCAAATGATATCCCGTCATTTGTATAGATAAAGATATCAGTAGAATTACTGTTCAAGACTAAACATTAGATACTGAATAGTTGGAATTTTCTTACAGTTATCCTTTACATTTTATCAGGACTTATTCCCTTTACAATTACAGATTATAAAAGACTCTAAACAAATGAAAATTTCTTTCTAGTTTTTTGAAAACATCATTGCGCTATGAGACTGTTGATATGGTGCAAGACCTTGCGATTACATCTGTGTATATGACAACTGTATGGCTACTTCAAGTAGTTCACATTATCATAGAAGGTCTTGATTTCCAGTAACACAATCAAGGACAAAACCAGTGGAACAACGAGGGGTTTTAAATTTTCTTATCTGGAAAAATAAAGCATATATGCATATGAACATACATTAGTTTCAGTATGAGAAAAAACATGTGAAGCTGATGAAATCGACACCGTATTTATCTACCTGGAATATCTACAGAGAGAAATCAGATAGTGGGTATGGTTCACATGCGAATTCTTCTTATTACTGATAATAATAATATTAATAGTAAAACTGCCTATTATCAAATTAACCACACTATATTAACTGTGACACTCAAATGACAACAACTACAGACAAAATTAGAGCATAACAGACCATCAAGTCACTAAGAATTAGTCGCAGAAATTTGCTGTAAATATTTGTGTTCACATGTCGCTTTCTGCATTTATATATAGTATGATGTAATCTGAAGTGTTGAGCTCACATGACGTAATATTAAACGCATCATATAGTTTATCACTATTGGTAAATATTACCGTGACTGTGTGTAAATAAATGTGTTAATTACGTCTCTCTCTCTCTCTATTTTTTCTGGTTCAATATTCAAATTACCACACGCTTAAACAAAAAACATTGGAAAATAAACAGTAATTTTATACACATTAATTGATCTTTGTCAGAATCATATAAAACTGATCAGATTCCAGTCGTAAAGTGAGCTTGTATTAGAATATCTTAATATATAAACCACAACTGTCTGCACAGCTAAAAATAACTTCACAGATGAAATGTCACTTTCTTATCCAAATTCCAATGATAATCTTAATAAATCTGGTGGAATTTATGAATACAGAAGCATAGATCGTAAAACACGCCAAGTTTTATTTTTTGAATGTGATTTAAGTTGCATTAAACAAACCTTTTTAAAAAGAAGTGAAAAATTTACTGAACAACGTGCAAATCATCTACTTGAAAAATACATACAGAAGCATAGAAAAACAAGATGCACAGCGTATTTCTTGATCGATCGGATACGTTTCCAACGCAGAAGACCAATAGACATAAGACCATTTCGTAAAGAAGTGATTTACCGGGAAATTAAGCACTTTTTTGTGTTTCCAAATTATCCTGAAGTATTTATGATATGTATTGTGGACGAGAACAAGAATAAACGTTCATATGAATCCTTTGAATGTACTAGTAGTGATATCGTAAGTACTGTATGCGGATTAACCTATAAGGCGTCTATAGATACACATAATATTTTGCGTGATACACTTTCAATAAGACAGATATCTATATCATCAAGATCTTCAACAACCGATCATAATTCCATACAAGAATTGGATGATTCAACATTCAACAGTTCTGCCAGTGTGGCATATGCAAATGAAAACATGGCTCTAGATTTTGTTCGATCAACTGAAGGTATTTCTAGTGATCATAATGGCGACAATATGAAAAATGATCCAATCTATTTTGATAATGATGGAAATGATGACTACGCTGATGGTCATGAAGAAATTGATCAAATATTATCCTCAGAGTTAAACAGTAATTATGAAAGGAAGCAGTCAAAAATAAAGGAATTAAAAAGCCCATCGAATATCTCATCATCAATATATAGCCCGAAAAGAATATGTTCGCAACTGGATTCATCCTATGCACTGTGTTCAAATGAAAATTCATTCGCCTCTAGACGAATGAGCGCTACGAAAAATAATGTCATTTATGATTGTTCTGTACATAAAACACTACCAGTTTGTACAAAGAATAAAGTGACACACCTAAATGTACCAGGCGATAAAGCTAAATATTCCAAACAAAAGCTAAGTAATTTTATGCCTTTATCATCTACATCTTCAGAAGACTACGATTTCAACGAAAAACAGGACATATCACAAATGCATCGAAATAAAAATTCAATAACAAGCACCTCCAGAAGACGATCCCTTATTCCCAATCTAGAGTTAAACCAGTCGTCTATGTATGATACGTGTATACGGAAAAAAACAGTTACAATCGCTCAGTCGAATAACATTTTCCGTTACAACAGTGATGTAAACCTTTACCAAGATGATGCAGTCTTAAGGGATGACGAAAACGACAACAATGTGCTCCGCAAATCGAAGTCATATATGGATATACGGTCTGGCGATGTGACATATTTAGGCTTTGATCCAATCGTCGGTATACGGATAAATAATAAAGGCCCTTTATATATGTATATGGCACGATACGATGGTGATCGATTAACTCCACCTTGTAATTGTTCAGATTTAAAACATTTCACACTCAAATAAAATAGTTTTGAGTCAAAATCTCTTATTTCATTTATGTAGCGAGAAATCCAGCTTATCATATAAATATATATATATATATATGATGCAGACTCCTTATAGGTTTCTTCACTTCTCTTTAGTGCTTGTCAGTGATGTATTGCATTTGACATGGAATAAAACTTATGAGGTTGATATAGGTGAACGTCAGTGTTTTTCACTGACCAATGAAACAGACATTAAATCCCAATTGGAATGTTTATTTACAAAAATAAAATGGTTAATATTACGAAGTGGTAATAATATCGTAAATATTAACGACAGACAAACGGTTTTATTCAAATTCCAGTGATGCACATACTTATCAACCAATCCACTCGAAGAAACCTCAGAGTAAGATGCAGAACAATGTAAATTCTCATCTACTTATAATTTATTCAAGTAATTCTGTAATTCAAGTAATTCATAGAAAAAAATTGGGAAAACAACTTTCATGGTTGTTAATTCATTTAGGCATCTGTCCAGCAGTAGCAAAGGTGGAGACCTGAATAATTAGATGAAGGAATGTCTTAAATTTGTGTTTTGATTGGCTACAAGTCATTGCTGTCCACTTTCACCTTGATCCCTTAAGTATGACATCAGACAGATAATAGGTGGAAGTAAAAATACATGGATCACTAGATTGCGTCTCAGTATCTCTTCTGGCAAGCTGAAGGTATTGGGTTTGATCCTTCGTAGATTAGTTGGTGCATGGTGATGAAGAAACGCATACTAGGATAAAACAGCTATCCAATACGCTTAGATTTAAGTGGTTATCCAACTGATATCAGTTAATGATCTCACTTAAAATATGCATTTTTGTGTAATTTCTACTTTGGCCTTTCCCCAGGCTAATTCCAGGTCATAATCGTGACTTACTTGAAATTATTCACTACATCCACTATCTCTGAAAATCACTGAAGCTCAAAAATAAGAATTAACAGATTAGTTGAGTCCGCCCAAGACATCTTTAAACTGCCTGAAATATAAAAAATATATATTGGGTATTTTAGCAGTTAATACTAATGTCATCAATATCTTTTTATCATTGTGCGTCGGTGGCACAGTGGTTAGGATTCTCGCCGACCATGCACATGGTCCGGGGTTCGAGCCCACGCCGACGCACACCTGATATCTATGGTCGGCCTGCGAAATTTGGGCTACCGATATCCATGCTGAAAATTCCATACTTGTACCAAAAATACGGTGTGGAATCAAGCTGTAATCAAAAATTAAAATAAAAAATAAAATTAGTTAAAATGCTGAAATAAACAAACTATTTAAACTCACTGCGTGTACACAACAACACGAATATTAATAGATTATGCAATTTAAAATGCAAAATACATTTTTCACATCTACTAAACAGCTGTATATATCTGAAATATATCAAACGTCTTTGTAACTTTTTAGTGTGCAGTGAAATGAAAAATATGTGTGGGGAAATTAAAAACAATAAAAAATTCGAGGAAACTATGAAAATCAAATAGCTGTGCTGCTTTATCTCTAAACACCTTGAAGTTGGAAATCACAACTTGAAATTCAAGGTCTCCAACCAATTCAGCATCTCTAGAGCTCAGTTCTGAACTGTCCTAAAAGAGAAGAGGAAGGTTGTCTGTTACTCCCCAACATTTTAAATGGTTCTTTCATCTGATGTCGGTTCTTGAAGAAAGTAGCCTTTAGACTCGTTTCTCATTCAAGCAAGTGGAATAATAAACTCAATGATTTGATTATACATTTCACCAAAACTGGAAACACTGAGTAGCTGTTTTATTCTATTTTAGGATTATTTAACAATTTATGCTGACAAATGTAAAACTTATAAGGCGGAAATGTTACTATTCGCTTGGTCGACTGGGATGCAGTAGTTAACTCTTGTATTGAAATGGAAATAGATAGCCGGTTATAATAACAGATAGTGGTCATGATACTACAGAAAGGTAATGTATGGTCACGTGCTTATTAAGAAATTTCCAGGTTATGGATTTCAGTCCTACCTGTAGTTATGTATGGACATAATAAAAGTGATCTAAACTATGACAAAAAGTCCACCTTACTTTTTATTCTTTTCATTTATTATTTCGACCTGTAATTACAGTTCCAGTGAATTTTATCGTCTAGTTTTCAAAAATTAATTAATAATCACAGCGTCTGTATGAAATAAAAAGTATAAAATACTACCCTCTCTAATTAAGTTTGTTTACCATTACATTACAAATACGATAAATAATGAGCCTATTTATGATAAAAGCAAACGAAGAATACAACAAACGTCTTCCTTTCACACTTAAATAATACACTTTTATTTGTATAAGTAAATTTTTTTATTCTGGCGTTAGATCAAATGTGTGTGTGTGCTTGTGTGTAAATGAATATCATACAAAGAATACAAAATTATAAAGGATTTTATTTTTACTTAAAATCTTATTGTTGTAATTGTACGCATACTTCAAATCCCCTCTGAGCTAAGAACTTTTACCCAATTACTTGTCCTGATTTACATCAGCGCTTCAGTTTGTTACACAAAACTATAACTATAAATAATGCATGCGAAGGTGTTTAATGCAGTATATATTCTGCGGCTTAGGTGAGTTGATTCTTCTCAAGTATTAACGTCACAGAAATTTACATGGTCCATCTATGTAGTAAACGGTCTGAGATTCAGATACCTAAATGCTTCTAACTTTAATACCAAGTCCCAGAAGGGTAATCTCTTCATGATCATCAGTTCCTTAAATCTTCAGGTCTGCGTTAATGACGAGTACCAGCATACGCATAACTGGTATGCGGAGGAACTTTTATCATCTTAGGCGTCTAACATATAAATATGAAGTTAAAAGGACTACGGTGGTGTTTTGAACATGCTGTCTATGGGATAGTAGTTGTTGTGATACTAATTTATGCGGCAGAATTTTACAGTGAATTAATTAGCTGTGGATTTTCAACTAGTCTTAATACATGAAAAACAGGACTATTTCTTGCAAGGCTAACTGTCATAATCTGTTTTCATCCTATTTACAAACACCAAAATTGTAAGCCTTAATGCTGAAATGACTCAAAAAAGTCTTGAAGGATAATTAATATGTGGTCAGTTGTACAAATTACGGTACTATGTAAATGACTCAATTTATTTCATCGGTAACTAGCCAATGACTAGCAATCTGATATATATATATATATAGTTACACTGGGAATTTAATATACTTAACCTCACTGAAAGAGACAAAATAATGATTGGTAATTAAAATAGAGATTCAAGTATTTGTTTGTAGGGATTCGATCGATTGGTTACAGGATTTCATCACGGGATGACATCGGTTAGAGAACCACTGGAAAACCTCGGCGGGTGCGTGCTGAAGAAAAGTCCTGAACTAGGACGAAACAGCAATCCAGTACTTCCTGGTTTTCCAACGATGCTCTAACCGATTTTAGCTCATAATAAAATAGAAATTTTCATACTTTATATGAACTCCGATAAAGATTTGACTTAGTGGTTTCACAAACATTTTGTGCCAAGTGAAAAGTTGACATATGTGAAAATTTTAATCATTTGAATCTCAGCGATTCGTCAAGGTTTTTGGGTAATTGTTCGATTCAGGATTATATTAAACCAATTTTAATCCCCTTCCCCTGTAGCAAGACTGTCAGCTACCTCTATATAACTCTAAGCAACAGTTACTATGATGATAAAATAATCTTTCGAGTTATAATGCAGATATTACTCTGAATCCCTAGATTTTCTGAAGATATATATTTTTAAAACAAGCAGAGAAAGTTAATAAAGCAGGAATCAATGAATTTATCAAATATTAGTAGAATCTTCAAACAAATACAATATAGTTCCATATAAATCAGTTAAATAGATGCATCAAACAGTGAAAAAGTATTATTTACAGCATAACGTATCAAAAAAATACATTGTACATAATAATATCGATTATAGTCACACGACTTCAGAACTTTAGTTTTGTGGCTTTCTTTATTCGTTCCTAATTGTCATAGAGGCAGTAGAATTTTCCAAATGTCTGACTAGACAGATGTTGAGTCATTTGTAATATACGCGCTTGCAGTTGATTCCATAAATAAAGCTTCGTTTATAAATCGACAACAATCTCTACCCCAAAAGTGTTACATAAAATTTTAAAAATCTCAACTCATACACATTCAAAGGAACAAAGGTTAATGAAGCAGGAATTAATCAATTTGCCAAATACATAAAGTGATTTTAGTATACATTTGGTGGATGGTGGCTAGCAGTGGAATCCAGGATGAGCATTTCGTCCTATTTGGGACTCGTCATCTGGATGTACCTGCATTTCTCAGTGAGTGATGATGTTCCCACTGAGGCTCGAACCCAGTGCCCATAGTTTCAAACGCCAAAGCGTTATCCACTAGACCACTTGGGCCACGAGAGCCACCTCTTGTGCAACGGTTCATATTAATTATTGAATTGAATTTTGATTTTCCCGTCGATTGATTGGACCGAAGTGCTCGATCTCAGGTTAATTAAATGCCCAGATATCGTCGAAGCATCTTCACAAGAAGCCGACATGTAAACCTGAGACCGAGCACTTCGGTCCAATCAATCGGCGGGAAAATCAAAATTCAATTCAATAAAGTGATTTTATTATATTATTATGTGTACACACTGATGAACAGATGGTTATTGGTTGGTTGGTCGGCAGATTTCAGTGCTGCTAACCCTTTCCAGGTAGTCGTCTGATTTCCACTATGCATCGAAGTGAACAGCTGCCTATGAAAGTCGTGACGTGTTAACTCATTGAGCCAAACTGAATACTTGACTTGATATCAATTTCGAAGATTCATATCCTGTTCCATAGTCTAAATGCAGTAGATTTCTACAATAATTTCAGGCTAATGAAAACTTGTTTTCCTTTTCCGATCCTGGCTTTCACATGCTCATCCAAGCCGAGAACTTGTAGTTGAGATGATACTGCCAAGATATGCGGAAGGAGTTACCTCCT